GGAAATACCCAATTACCTGTGGGGGCACATTTCTCAGAGGACAACCACTCTCTTTCCAACCACTCTCAGTTCTAATCCTCAAAGGGAATTTGCAAAATACCTTTTGTAGATGAGCCTACGAACTTCACTTCATAAATCTACTGGATACAAAAAATCACGGACTGAGTTATGGTACATTATAACCTGCCTGCCATCCAATAACCCCAGGTAACCTCTCTACATTTTATCAGCTACATTCTATCCCCAAGTTAACATTCCACCTTTCTACCCCCCCCCCAAAACCTGTCTCACACCTATGAACTGGCATCCCCTCTGATCTCCGCTACCACAGATTTGCATTTTCACAGACCTGCATATTGGCTCAAGCTTCCTTTCCACCCAGGGGAGCACACAAACAGCAAACTCTCCCTATGCCTAAAGAAGAGTATTTGGCCCCAAAAGCTTGTAAAGAACAATTTTTCCAATGGTTTAGTTCGTCTAATAAAAGATATCATCTTTGCCCAAAGAAGCTTGTCTGCAGAAAACAGTGAAGCATTAGTGCTAAGCAGAGGTAGCGGCTTATTTTTATGTACGTGGAGAACAGTGGACCTAGGCCCGCTAAGAGAGCTATGAGCTTGCCTCAGTTGGGGAGGCCACTAGATACATAACAATTGAGTACTTGGAACAACAAAAAAGAAAACAGGTGGGACCAGGATGGTCACAGCTTCAAACCAAGGGAATTGAGTGGAGACACCAAGCAAAGAACTCCTGCCAGTGTCCATTGCCCCCTGAACGATTCCAAGGAGACTGTGGATGCCAGTCAGTGAAACTCTGCCCAGAGACATGTGCAGAGCGACAGGAAAATGGCTCCACAGTGCTTGGATTCCTCCTGGCCAGAATCTCCTCCTGGGCTGGTAGATGGCAAGTTTGGCCATCTACCAGCCCAGGAAGGAGCCAGGAGAAGACTGACCAGCAGGCCCCAGGCCCTGGTTGGAGAGTGCATGAAAGAGCAGTGCGGAGACGTGCAGCTAGAACCTCAGGAGTGTCCTGAGGAGGTGGTGGAGGGGCTGCAGCCTGGTGCATTCAAGGTAAGCACAGGCAAGGACCTCCCTCTGTTGACAGATGTCGGGGATAAGCAGGGGCAGGGAACTGGCATAAAGAATGACAGGAGCTGGTTACTTTCACAAAATCTTTCTTTATCAAAACAGCCATTATTTTGTATCACAGAATCATATAAAATGAGAGTTGGAAGGGACCTCAGGAGGTCACACCTAGTCCAACCCCCTGCTCCAAGCAGGACCAGCCCCAACTACATCATCCCAGCCAAGGCTTTGTTTACCCAGGTCTTAAAAACCTCCAAGGAAGGAGAGTGGCCAACTTGCCTGGGTAACCTGTCCCAGTGCTTTACTAACAGCGTTTACTACCCAGTGTTTTACTACCCTCCTAGCGAGAGTCTCTCCTAATATCCAGCTTCAGCTTCCCTTGAGGAACTTGAGATCACTGCTCCTCGCTGGGACGCAGCTGGTCTTCACGGAGTCCCGCTCCGCGGTGGCCGTGTTCAGCTACCTCTGGCGGAGACCCCGGTTGCTCTTGGCAGCACGTCAGATCCCAGGGCGGCCGGCAGGGGGCGCTGCCCAGCACGCGGGATCCTCAACATTGCAGCGGTCGCTTTAACACAGCTCCTTGGGGCCGCCCACAGGCCCCCGGAACAGCAGAGCCCTCCCGCACTGGCCGGGGAGGCGGCGCCCGGGCTCAGTTTCCGGCGGCGCCGCACGTGGCCCGGGGTCGGGCCCGATCGACTCCCGCGGCCGCGCATGGGGGACAGCGGC